AATGTGTACCTTAATTAAGCCATGTAATAACAACATGTTAATAATAGTGCAAAAGTAACATAATGAAACTCTGTTCAGACAGTGAATGGCCTGATGCTTCCTAACTACATTCATACTCACGACATGCAGACTGGAGGACCCAGGGATCGAACCACTAACCTCCCAATCAATAGGTGACCTATCATAGCAGTATAGTATTACAACATGGCATTTGGGTCTTCTAACTAAAATAGAAAAATAGGAACATAAATAGTGCCATCATTGCCAGACCTGGCCCACATCTGGTTGACATACACCCTGCCATGACACCGGTCAGTCAGAAGTGCCAGCTTGATGCCAGATCCGGGCCAGGCCTGTTTTCTATGAGCCTGGGCCACATAAACCCAACCACAATTGAGCCAGATGTGGCATGCCATCACATAGACAGTGCCATCTATGCCAGGCCTGGCCCATATCTGGATGGCATACGTCTTATCATGCCAGAAGTCAACCAGCAGTGCCGGCTTGATACCAGATCTGGACCAGACATGCTTACTATGTGGGAAAGGAAAAATAATAGACTGAAGGGTACATATATGCTTATTATCTATGCTTAGTCCCATGAGTATTTGGACAGCCTCTGTACGCCACCACAGTGGCAAAGAATGAAGACACGACTTTACTTCAGAGGGGTTATTAAAATTATTGCAATAACTATTTTGGAATTAGATGGATTTTTACACATATTCACCAACTTTCAGAGGCTCAAAACTAACTCTCAGGGGTTTTATAACCAGGTTAGTGACATCTTTTGATTTGAAATCCATGGTGGAATTGCACACAGCCAAACTGTAAGATCTGGTGAACATTTCCTATTTTCCACTCAGAAAGACCAATAGTGGGGCATCAGCTGTTGTTTTACTCTAATAAAAAAGTCCAGCAGACACAAACTAACATCCATATTCATTTGGACATATTGTTCAGATGCTTCTAAAGAATATGAATCCAATACGAACAGTTTAAGAGTTTTTGGCTTCTTGTTGCCTAGAAAGACACCGTGAGAGCACTGATACTACAACAAACATTTACATGTCATATTACTGATGACCTATCTATAGCATAAAAAATATCTTAGTGGCATTTACATTAGTAAGGCTTTCTCCTGTTAGGATTACCTGAAAACATCGTGATCCAAAGCCTAAGTAACATCTGTTTGAACCGAGTCAGGTCAACGTCGTACCTTTGAAGTTAAAGCGACAGCACGCTTGCTAACTAGCATGAAGTCAGCATCTTGCATTACAACATAAACTATACAACTCCCACCATACACTGCTAAGCTCCATCT